ATCCTTAAGGGTGTCAAGATCAACCAAACAATCTCGTTGCATTGTATCAATTAATTTTTTGCAATAATGCCAGGTGAGCGACACAAGCTCCTGGGGGCCTCTTGTTTAGTTTTTAAGATATTAAACTGATTTTTGGTATGCAGCTTTTAATGATAAGCTTCGTTTCGTTCTACTTTTGATTGAATAACAACCCGATGAGTTTTTGTCTTATTTGTAATTCTATACTTCATAGTTACAGGTGTAAATTGAGAAAAAACTCATAGAGGAAAAACCTCAATCATAAATCTTTTCATACATGCGCAGGCCGTTAAAGTGTGTTTTCTTTTCTAACAGTTAAAGGGGCATTTATATCACCAGTGCTTCTTTCTAAAATTTATAGGGGATTTTAATAAGTGTTCTCCTTTCTAACATTTAGAGGGGCTTTAAATCATGTGTTCTCCTTTCTAACATTTAGAGGGGCTTTTAATCATGCGTTTTCCTTTCTAACATTTAGAGGGGCTTTTAATCATGCGTTTTCCTTTCTAACATTAAGAGGGGCTTTTAATCACGTGTTCTCCTTTCTAACATTTAGAGCTTTTTTTTAAATCATGTGTGCTCCTTTCTAACATTAAGAGGGACATTTAAATCATGTGTGCTCCTTTCTACCATTAAGACGGACATTTAAATCATATGTTCTCCTTTCTAACATTAAGAGGGACATTTAAATCATATGTTCTCCTTTCTAACCATTATAGGGTCAATAAGATCATCAACAAAAGATTAAGAAAACCTAGTAAATTTGGGACAAAAAGGAATTTTTATGACAGAATTGGTCAACAGCGCAAACGATGAACGCGAAATTATCCCCCCCCCCAAAAAAAAAAAATCCACCACCACCACCCCACCCCGGTGGTTGGTCGTCAATCTCTTTTCACGGTTACATGTTAAGCGTTCCAATAAGATCAGGTCATTTGTTAGTTTCTGTCGGTTTTTTGATAGTATTAAAATGATTTCTTTATTAGTTTCTTAGATTCCTCATACGTTCTGCGATATTTGAATTCAAATTATGCATTATGCTACAACTATCCCTCATTCTAGTGTGGATCATAAATGTTAGTTTCTGTTTTGTAAATCAAATTACATTTTCGTTCACCGTTAAATATGAAAAATGTGTTATTTCTATAAATTAGATTGATAACATTGTCTATCTGCTCTACATCAAATGATGTTTTATAAATCTTCCTTGAGATTTTTTCTCTTGCTGTAGGTTAAATACGATTAAGTTTGCAACTTCAAACTGATCTCTTTGCACAAAATGAATGCTAAAGTCATCATAACATATTCAGGAGATAATGATTACAGGTCCTTAAAATACCTTTCCTCATAGATTGTAGATCTATTTTACTATAGTGTCTTATTATTCAAGACATGTAGATCTATTTTACTATAGTGTCTTATTATTCAAGACAAAGTCACGTCAAATATGAATAATGTTCAACATCTGTAGAAAGAATTTTGTTAATACCACTTGTAAATTACAATTTTTCTTACATTTCTTATATACTGAGTATAAACTACAGTTTGAAATTCCAAGACGTCAAATTTGACTACAAGATATTTCAAAACAGTTTTATTATTGCAGCAAATTGTATTGTAGTATAACGATGGGTGTCAGCCGACAAGCAGGAACGTCTGACCATTCCGGAGCACCTGAGTTTATCCCCCTTATTTGGTGGAGTTAACATGTTGTTTAGTTTTTAGGTTTCTGTGTTTTTTTCATTACTTAGATTAGCCTGTTCGTGGTTTTTCTATTATCTTTTGTCGACTTATGGTTTTTGATTGTCCCCTTAGTATATTCTCCTTTTTGATGACGTTCTGGAAATTTAAAACGTGGACACATACCCTGACAAAAACCGATCTACAATTTGTATATATCGAAGTTTTATAATGTCGACAAAGTTGATATTTCTAGAAGTACTAATCCGCAAAATTTCAAATAACTAAACACTTTCAACTAGTGACCAAACAACTAATTGATTCACTAATGCGAGTAGCGCATGAGTGAATCGGTGCTTTGCTTTTGCGCCAATTCACATTTCATTTGAGCCAACAAATCTTTCATTTGCGCCACAAGCTATATTTCACTTGCGCCAAAATAATTCATTTCATTTCGCCAATAATACAAGATAAATAGTAGAAATAATAGATCTATATAATAGATACTTTTAATAATAATATTACAACATAGTTTTAATACCATAAATAACATATTCATCATAAATCACACAGTAAAATTCAGTTCAAAAGAAGTCCGAGTCCGATGTTAGAATAGGTAATAGAAGAAACTTCTCAACATGAATTAACAAAGGATTAATAGAAGTTACTGACAATCACATGACAGCTCCAGACTTCAATTAAACTGATTGAAAGATTATGTCTTCATCATATGAAATCAAGCACACTCCCTCCCGTTAGGGGTTCAGTATCATACCATCATAAAATATACGATATATAAGAACATAACCCGTATCATGCCAACAACTGGTTTTAGAATAAATGTGTTTATTTCCGATGCAAAGACCATATATGAGTGAATCAATATTAATTCCAATAAACGCCATCTTTAATGACCTGACAACAGTATCGTAACTATATCCCTTCTGAATAAGTCTGTTTAAAGGTTTGGTTAGCTTTTGAGGTGAATGGCGACATTTTGTGCTTAGTATAGAATATTACCATAAAAGATTGAAAGTGTAATACCTGAAGGTATAATATGTCAGCACGTTGATTTATATTTACGAATGATGTCCTTGTACCGATGATAAAATTAAGTAAATGTTTTTTAACAAGTTTGCGATATTGAAAAACCTGGTGTAATTTTTCAGTAATACAGAGATTTCTTTCGTTAAAATCAAATACATTTACATACACGAGTGAAGAACACTATACAATTGTATATGAATATGAAGATGTGGTACATGTATGAGTGCCAATGAGACAACTCTCCATCCAAGTCACAATGTATAAAAAATTAACAATTATATGTCAAAGTACGGCCTTCAAGACGGAGACTTGGCTCACACCGAACAGCAAGATATAAAGGGCTCCAAAATGACTAGTGTAAAACAATTCAAACAGGAAAACCAACGGTCTAATCTATATAAATAACGTGAAACGAGAAAATCCTATGAACAACACCAACAAACGACAACCACTGAACAGCAGGCTCCTGACTTAGGACAGTTACCTTTAAGTGACTCTAGTTGAGTGTAAGAAATGAGTATGAACTCACTTACTTATTCAATGGGTGGGTGGTTACTTTACAACATTTCTTATGCAAGCCTCGTATTCAGGATACAACTTATATTAAAATGTTTCCATTATATTTGACCTGTAAATTGGCACAAAAGCAAAATTTATTTTTGGCGCAATTGAAATACTATACCTTGTGGTGCAAATGAAATACTGCATTTTTCAAAATTTGGCGCAAATGCAGTGCGCTCGAGTGAATTATCACTTTTTTTTGTGTTAGTTGAATACTAAATTTACTATATTTGAATTCTTGGATAAGTTATTCTTTTTGTTACAATGACTTGTATCCCACATCTATTTGTATTCATAACTGAACTTTAAAAAAAGGTTAATAACTAAAACAACATATATTAAAACGATGAAAACGATGGAGCATATAAGCAGCGAATGTTTTCTAGGAATTGAAAGGTCCAGTTTGAGTATATCAACTCTACCATCTTCACAAGGTCAAGAAAAAAAATATTCATCTCCTGGGGTATCTTTTTGAAATACATTTTCCATCATTTCAAAGATAACATTGATATAACTGCTATTATGTAAATAAAATACTTCTCAGACTTTTCTATAATACAACTTATTTTTTGGTCAAGGTTTTAAGAAGGTAAAGTAGGACCTGAGAAGCTATGAATTGTTTGTATTTATTTTTACTTGGCCTTTACACTTGTAGCTTTACGAAGGTCTGTATTACCATGACACGAGCAACTGCATTTTGATATTACTTTCTATGCATTTCATCTGCGGTTAATTTCCGGAATACTTCTCATGCATATCTATGCAGGCGTATCCTTGAAAGATCGTATGTAATTGTCGCCTTGAATATAAATAAAGCATTTAACAGCAAAGGAGATCTGCGTGTTTTATCTACGTCTCTACGTAATACCTGGGAAACAGTTATTCAAAATGACAACTGACGTATTCCTGCCAAAAAAACTGACAGAAGATATCTTTATTGGTAAATTGTAAGAAAAAATCTGTATTCCTTTTCATCCTCAATATATATCCCTAACCCCAGTATACAATTTTACATCTTAAGTATTTTATCAAAATATCAGTTACACATTTGCTGAGTAGGAGAGATATCGATATGAAATATTATACGATAGAGTGAGTAAATTCTGATAGAATTTTATACGATAGAGTGAGTAAATTCTGATAGAATTTTATACGATAGAATGAGTAAATTCTGATAGAATTTTTTACGATAGAGTGAGTAAATTCTGATAGAGTTTTATACGATAGAGTGAGTAAATTTCTGATAGAATTTTATACGATAGAGCGAGTAAACTTCTGATAGAATTGTATATGTACTGTTGAAGATATTGTTAACGCAGAAAGAAAACATATGATGCTGGATAAAACTTTGAAGAGAAATGAGGAAAGGTCGGACATTCGCAAAATGTCGATCTTTAACAATCTACTAGCCTTTTTAAAAATATTAAACTGTAAACTGAATAATTTACAAGATGAAATGTAAGCAACAGCTTCTATAACAGTTGCGGTTGCATCAAAATATATGTATCGAAGTAATAACTCTTATATCTTCTTAGTTAAACTTTCAGCACTAAGCAATGTATGAATGTTATCTTATTTTTAAAAGAATATGCATGACGAACAGTAACGCCTTACGTACGTCAAACTCGCGCAAACACAATTGATTACCTACTTTCAACTGAAAACAAACAGAAAAGTACATTATTTACAATACTTACCAAAACCTGGGGCACAGATATTTAGTAAACACAATATAATAGCTGCAGCAGGATGCATCCGTGGAATAGCATTATACAGAGGTCCATGTTTTTCGTTGATTTCAACAATGTCACTATCTCTATGAACGTTTTTCTTTTTATCGTTAGTTGTGGATCCATCAGCATTAGATGATCCCATGATGACTGAGTTTTCTTTTCAAACTTTTATTCCAAAAAAAATCACTCAATAGAAACTCATAACAGGAAATTGATTGCAGTTTTAGCTAATTAAGTTGTCATCCTGTTAATAGTTAATGCAAATCTGTATTATAATGTGTATATAGTAGATTAGAGCTTACTCCTTAGTTTTTGTATTGATAGATATAATATGCTGTCTGTGAATACACTCGCTAAGGCATTCCTGTAAAAGAAGGCACTGTATAAATTATTGACGTGTCTGTAATGAGATTTACAGTCAGTTACCAAATAGTGGTCTAATTGATTTTAACCGTTATTCACTTGAAGTGTTATAACGGAGAAACAACACATTACAGAAGTTTTGAGTGCTATTTATGGTCCTTATGTGGACATTTTATTTCATTTAGTTTACTTTGATATTAAATGGTAAAAGTGTATATATGAGAGAAGAAAACGGATCTTTATTTAGCTAGACAGGAAAACAGATGTAGAAAACCTCTGAACCAACTTCTAGTGTCTTAGAAAGAGGTCTCATTTAGTTGCCAGTTTGGATTTTAACTAAATATAACTTTATGTATGAAAAGAATTAATAGGGACCAGTCTCACTATATTGCATTTGCAGACACTATAAACATTCCAGTGAAATAAAATATTGTAGGAAAATCATACATAAAAGAACCAGCAAATTTTGATTAAAGTGGAGGGATAATAAGAGCCCTTATTCGGTCCTAAAATTGAAAACAAGAGTTAAATTTTTCAAACCTTTCAAAACTATGGTAATGCTATTGATAAATGAATTTGATAATGTAATCTTGATCATTTTCAGACAGAAAATGACATGTTTTGGGGTCACCATTACGTCATATACCTGAAATGATTGACAATATATTGCCATTTTGTTTCTAATTCTTGTAAATTAAATATAAGAAACTACCTTACTTATAAAGATATTTCACTTGCATCAGCATATTGTGTTAGACATTTTGTGGCAAACCAATCTCCTTGGATAAAGTTGTTGTTTATATCTAAAAATAACTTAAAAGATCTGAAAATGAAAGATATTCGACAGTTTTATGTAGCATTCCCATAAATGCAAGAAGTTTGAAGGTCTCAAGCAAATATGTAAGACAAAACTTAAATATTTTATTACTTGTATATGATGTTCTGCTAGTTATGTCCCATAAAAGTCTTGTGGGCGTTGTTGGATTTTTATAGTACTTTTGATATTCCGATTCAAAGGGTAAAGGGTGGCCTTATAATACCTTCTCCTTTATGAGAAATACACAGCAAGAGAAGGTAACATTTTTAAATACCAATCATCTAATTTACTTACACTCTACAGTAAAATAAACATAAGTAATGATGCTGTAGTTATATAATAACAATACCTGACGATTTCTGACTCGAAAACATTGCAAGATTTAAATTGCAAGCTAACTTGAAGGTCGACGAATGTTTTGACTGCTTATTGTTGTTTAAAAAGAATTATATGGTTAAATTTTTACAAAGGTATGTTTTTATTTGTGCGTTGATGCAGTCTGTCTCACTATTATGTCCGTTAACAAGTGACTTGGTCAGTTTAGGTCTTTTATTATTTTTCAGCTTAAGCTCTAGTTCTTCATTACTAATTACAAGACGTCACATGTTCCCATAATGGTTTTTCGTTTTACATTATTACAACATTTGGGCCATTCTTTAGTATACATTATTTCACATTATTTTTCGCTAGATTATTATCTAAAAATACGTTAAACGCACCTTTCTATATACTATTTATGATGGCATGTTTGCACAATATATTTGGAATACATTTAAATTTAACGAAACATGTTTTTTTTTATTTCTTAGCTAATAAATCCTTATCCTTTCCCCGAATGGTTGATTATTTTTTACAATCAACTTGTCGGGTTTGCGTTTTCTGAGTTAGTCATTGGTCAAAATTCAATTATCATATTTTCTTACTTTCCTCTGATTTCGCTATTGTGGCGTCACGAATAAAGGCATAAGAGCAACAAATTCCACTACCTTAGCCCAAATTATACAACATGTCTGTACGGTCGACAGTTATTTCAAATAACTAAAATTTTAAAATCTAACTGTCTTGAGAATAGAAATATCGTATCATAATCGATGCAGTAGTGTAATCTTTATAAAACATCTGGCCTTGCGATCATAACACTTTCGTGCACGGATTATCGTACTCAGATTCCGAAGTCAACTAATCAGAGTACTGGAATTGGTATTTCGAGCACACATTTTGTACTCCGATTACTGAGTTTACGGTCATAACACTTTCGAGCACGATTATCGTACATAAACTCCAAAATAAACCAATCAAAATACTGAGCACAAATTTTGTACACCGAGTACTCTGTTTAAAATTATGAGTGATATATGGGACCACTTCGCTAAAAGAGTAAATGATAAATTAAGAATAAGAAGAACTTTCGGTTGAGCATTATACTAGGCTAAGTGAAAAGCAGGGCAAATTCAGAAAACAACCATAAACAGGACTAATACAGAATTCAAACTAACAGTTTAAATATTTCAAAATAGTTGGGGTGATTCCGGGACACTCCCTTGTACACAATCATTTCATCCTTATAGGAGTTTATATCATGCAATTCCAAAAATAATTTCCCTCATTCTAATCTAATGCAAAATTTTCTTTATTGTAAAGACATATATAAGGCGGGGTAGATATTCATCAGCATTTGATTACCGAAATTAGCTATGAAGGTGTTTATTCGGACAGCTGTGTTGGTTTTGCTCATACTGTCGTAGTTTATATATATATATATATATAAAGTCAGTCGTCTCAAATTTAGCCCAACAATGTTAGATCTTCAAATTTGCGTTTGCAAATGTTTGTTCTTCCCTCAGCGGGAATCGAACGCTTGCCTCTGTGACATTGTGGCAACACTGCACCGTGTCCAGCGCCCTAAACCACTCAACCACCTAGGCTACATAAAAATATAGCTTTCGGTGGTCGATGTAATACAAGGTTGGGCGGTATTTACCACCCCCGGTATTTACCAGTGGTATTTACCGGTATTTACCGCCCCGGACAATACTCCCCAAGTGGTCAATACTGGCAAATACTGGTCAATTGAAATTTTCATGCTTCTTTTGACTGGCTTATCTATCAATTCTAGTAAAAAAAATGGTTGAGGAGGGAAAACTTTATTCCTTTGTCATGATTCAGTTTATAAAAATGAATGATATTGGTATGTTATTATTTATTAAAACATTAAAAATGACTAATTTAGTTCTTAGGGGTAATTATATTGCATACTTTTGGTATACATATAAAATTGAGCAGCTATATCAGTTATTTTAACATGTATAAATCAAGATATATTTTTCTTGAAAAGGTTTGAATTTTACAGGTAAATAGAATTACAAGTGACTAGCAATATAGATTATCAGAGCATTACCTATTATATGGCTAACAGGTGTCAAAAGTTTAATTACTATAACAACTGTCCCCTAATAAATGATGACATAACAGGAAAAAAGTCATAAAAGTGATTTCTAAAGATTGTTTTAAACAATGAATTAATTCCTGGCTATTCAACAGCATGATAAAATTGTTCTAAATGCAGGAAATGTTTTTTTTTAATAAATATATAACATATATATATATAAAACAATTTTTTTTAATTTTTTAATTGCATCTTTCAAAATAACTGTTAAGAAAACCAGATGTTATATAGTCTCTCTTAAGTGACTGACTTCATGGTGTTAATGACTATATCTGTTGTATGATTAAATCAATATTTGATAAATCTTCATTAAACCATGTTCATGAACTAATTAATTGTGACTTTTTGTCCTATTACAATGTAGTAAATAAGTGACTTTCTGCCTTGTGACTATATCTATCCATTTACCAAGTAATTGACCTGAGGTAGGGACTAGTTTTATAGTAAAGTCCTATCAAAATTTCAATTGACCAGTATTTGCCAGTATTGACCAGTATTTGCCAGTATTTCCCGGTATTTACCGGTATTTACCGCCGGCATGGTCAATACTAGTATTGACCGCTTTTTTGCCATCCTTGATGTAATACCTTTCCTCGTCGGCTTTATATAGGGTTGTAACACAGTACATGATGTACAGTGGCAAGTAGATGGTGTACTTTTCAGATCAGCTATGTTGTCTGTCGTAAAGGATAATAATTTTAATTACCATGCCGCCACATCAAATTCTAATTCTATTATACATATATATATATATGTTATATATGTTGACAAATATTGTCTCTTCGGGGATGTTCTAGGACATTAATTTGAAAAATCAAAAACGTAATATACAAACATTTAATAACCGAAAAAGAAAAACTACGAAGTGCTAACCGGCTTACATTCCCCATATCCTTTGTTTTCTTTTTATAGTATGGCACTCTCAGGCGAGCGGCTGGGAAAATGGGTATTTATTTTGTGTAATCAACTCATACAAATCTCAACATAAATCCCGAATCTTCACAGTATGATTTACATACTAGTATATTTCATTGAACCTAATCACCTATTGTTTTAGGTTTTTCCCAAAAGCTCAAAAAGTAAAAATACACATTATTTCAACACTAGAAGGATTTAGAAGGCAATTGAAACCTTGTGTCACGGTTCCATGTGTTCATATGAAAATGCCTGTTCTATAAATCGTCATGATGTTAAATGGGATAAATTTGAGACGAATTATGTATATGTGTTTGGAACCCTGTTGCGTATCCCTTATACCAGAATCTCAGGCTGGATTTAGAAAAGGATTTTCAACTACCGATAATATTTTTGTGTTGCATTCAATTTTATCTATATTTTTTTCGAAGGGCAAAAAATTATTTTGCACTTTTGTGGATTTCAAGAGAGCATTTGACACTGTTTGGAGAACAGGGTTAAGGCAAGAACTACAAACATCTCTATCTACAATATGTATCAAAATATAAAGACATGTTTTCGATATGGTAACCAAAGTTATTCAATTGTGTTGGTGTTAGGCAGGGTGAAAATCTTACAAACGAAAGGTACGACAAAAATTTTATTTTCATGTATACGGTAATGTAATAGAAGTTGTAGATTCTTACAATTATTTAGGAATATCTTTTAGTTACAACGGTATTTTTTTTGTACTGCTAGAAAAGGGATTTTTGACAAAGCACAAAAAGAAATGTTTGCTCTCTACAGAAAGATGAAACATATATCATTGCCTTTTGATATTCA